TGACGCCAGGCCTGACCAGGAAGGGCCGCCCTCGCCCGTCTCCCCGGCCCCATCCCCCTTCACCCCGCTCTCCGCCGCCCAACCTCCCCGCGCCGTCCCGCACCTGCGCCCTGTGGTTGACCTTCACAAACACAGGCCCCGCGTCCGTGTCGTAGGCGCGCCCCTCGCTGATGCAGCCCCCGCCTCGGCTTCCAAAGGCGCGCAGGGTCGCCGTGCGCAGCTCGGAGCGCAGCAGCTGCTCCATGGGGCGGGGGACAGCGGAACACGGGGACCGGGGCCCGAGGGACGCAAAGAGGGACCCGCGGATGGTGCCGACTGCCCAGCCAGGGACGTGAGCTCGCTGGGGCCCAGACCGCTGTCCACCGGGAAGGCGACTGGTCTGCGCCGCCAGCGAGCACCCAGGCGTCCAGCCTCCCAGGACCGATGAGGGCGGGGTGGGGAAGGGAGGGAGTGGGGAGGGGAGAGAGGACATCTCCGATTGGGGGACAGAAGTGGGGGCGGTGCTCTGCCCATGTGTCTGCATCGTCAGTGAGCCTGGACAGTCCAGATTGGAGTTCACGGGGGTGGGGGGGGGCGGCCACAGAGCCCTGTATATAGGGCCGGACCTCGGTTCCATGAGCCCTCACAGGACTTGGACCCCTTCCACTCAGTAGGACACAGCCCAGGCGAGGAGACCCAGCTGTCCCTAGGCCAAAGATCATAGGCCTGGTTAGGTCTGGCACTGACCAGACAAGGCTGGGGTCTCCACCACCGTTAGGCCCAGGCAGTGACCATGACACCCACGGCTAGCCTTGCGTTTGCTCATCAGGACGCCCGGTGCCCATCAGCAATAGACAGAGGCAGCCCTGGAGCTTCTGATACCAGGGGAGGCTGCTGACCCCACCCCATGTGGGACTCCTGATTAGAGCCCACAGCCCTGGGAAGGAACTTTCAAAACACACACATGCCTGGCCGGTGTGGCTCAGCAGCTGAGCATTGACCTATGATACAGGAGATCAAAGTCCCATTCCTGGTCAGGGCACACATCCCGGCTGTGGGCTTGACCTCCGGCAGGGGGAGTGCAGGAGGCGGCGCATCAATGACTCTCATCATTGATGTTTCTCTCTCTCTCTCTCTCTCTCCCTTCCTCTCTGAAATCAATAAAATATTTAAAAAACACACACAATGCCCATGTGCACAGAGGCAGGTACACACCTGTGCACACATGTGCTCAAGGTCAGTGCCAAGGAGCTGGTGGGAGGGGAGAGATTGTGTGGCGGTCTGCAGGGAGGGCCCCTCCCTGTCCTCCTCCTCCCAGCCGGTCTCTGTGGAAGACCTCAAGTCTGGGCACCCCCAAAACCAAACCGCCCTGCAAGCAGGTCTGTGTCAACAGTACAGCAGCACACATGCCATCATCAGGAAGCTATCAGTTATCAGTCTCTCCAGGATCAGAAAAAATAAGCTAAAACCTTGGCACATGACAGTTTAGGGATTACTAGATTTGAAAGTCCGACAACCACAAGCTCTTCAGAGTCACAGTCCCCTCTCCCTTCCCACAAAAACTCTGAAGGCATGGTCCTGCTTCTGAATTACACCGAGGCACCCCAACCTGTACACAGAAACACAAAGCAGAGGAGAAAAAGTGAATCTACCCTCCCCACCTGCCTCAGGAGACCACCGGTGGGCTCACTGGTGTGGTGTGCTCTCGGCCTACCCCAGACCTAGTCAGTGGCCACAAATGCGTCTTCCCAAAATGTAATCCTCAGTTGCTTTCTACACCCCCTCACTATTCACCAAATCTCGAAGAGTGACTACGAACAGCAGTTAAACTGCATCCAAGTCAAATACTAGAAAGTCCTCAGGCTACACCTGCCCGTATTTTGAAGCTATTCCGATTCAACAAAGTCAAGGGAAAAATTGCTCTTTTCAGAAACAATTTATTATAACAACACATTACAAAGGCTTCTTGACGAACAGCTAAGAAAAGCACTGAGTTATGATTAAATGAGGGAAACAGTGTCTTGCATCATTGAAACCACTGAAAGTTTATGCGAAAGGGTTTATTAGCATCACTGCCATTCATGAATGTTCCTCGGCACCGCAAGACTGAAGGAGGGAAAACACTGGCTTGTGCTGGTTTTATCTGATGCAAAGGAATGACAGCCCAGCAAGCTGAGGAAGTGGCACACAAGATGAGGTGCTGAGAAAAGCAAATCAGTGGCTCCTAAATCTACCAAGGACAGATACCCCAAAGCTGGCAGGCTGGTCACTCCCCAAATCATTTCCAGACCTGCTCAGCCTGTGGCTGGTCCAGAGGCACACAGAAAGCAAAGGGAATGTGCTCAGTTTTGGAAATGGTAAGACGGTTTCGTGCCTGGACCCAAGCTTCAGCCATCGAGTAGCATCCCTGAACTTCAGGGACGTTCCTGGAGATGAGACAGGAGAAGATGGTGGGAAGGTGCCCTCGGCAGCAGTGCCTGGTGCACTGGCCACTTCCCTTCTCTATCTTTGGGTAGCTGCGTTGTTCGACATGGCCCACACTCCACAGGTCCCTCTGTTCACATCACATTGCTGGTGTGGTTTACAGAGCTATGAAGTCTAACGAAATGTACATCTTTAGGGTGACAATACCTTTCTTCTGAGATATTACGTACTTCCCAAGGCCTGGAAGATTGGTCTGAAGCTACTCCAGGTGTGGGAAGAAGTGGGAGTGAACCCCTAATGAGGAAGATGTGGAGGAAACAGAGGGGCTGGGCACAGGCACCAGGTTAGGACCTGGTACACCTGAACCTGAAGCCCCCCAGACTCCTCGCACAGGCCTCCCTCCAGAGGACAGCAAGCTCACTTGATGAGGTTCCTCATGATATTGAGGGAGGACCCTCTATACCCTGATCCAAAATGATTCCAGTGGTTCAAATAGTGGAAGAGCTGATACAGCTTCAGGCGCTTCTCAAATCCGGGAGCCTTGGGGATCTTGCTGTGGTAGGCAGAGTAGAAGTTGCTACTAAAGCCCCCAAACATGCCAGCTATTGCCAGCTCATATTCCGAGTGGCCATAGAAAGAAGCCGGGTCAAAAATGATGGGCCCAGAGGAATCTTCTGCTACGTTTCCTCCCCAGAGGTCTCCATGGAGCAGGGCTGGGACGATGTCCAGATCAAGGAAGAGGTCCGGGATCTTCAACTGCAGGGAGCAAATGCAGCTTCAGCAAAGTGAGCAATGCGTGAGGAAGGGATGCAGATGCTCTTCCCAGTGTGGTCCGCATGCCCGAGCAGAGTGTGCATGCAGATGCACATGGCCATGCACAGCTCAGGCAGGATGCAGGGACACCAACAGCTGTCCTACTGGCCGGCCCCACCCACCTCCGATCCAGACCCACAGTGCTGTATCTGACTTGGCACCTCTCCCTGTTGGGGTTGCAGGGCACAGTGGGCAAAGGGCATGGCAGGATTCCACTTACCTGCAGAGCAGACCAGAGTTCGAGGGCCTCTCTGTCCCCAGACCCCTTCTCCACCATGTCCATCTGGGGCTGAATGCGCTGCTGGGCATAGAATGCGACCCAGTCCTTCTGCCAGTCATTCACCTGCAGAGACGAAAGCGAAGGAGAAAGCAGAGCTCAGAGGGACATGCCAGAGCTAAAGGAGGTACTTCAAAGTGGGAAGGGCTGGTTGTTAGAGACAACGCTGCAGGGATGGGTGTGAAAGGGGTGGGAGCTGACTGGGCCCCATGGGGCCTCGTGGACATAGTGGGACCTTAGAGCCTGTCCCAGGAACAGTAGAAAGCAGGGGGACCCTTCCCAGTGCAGAGCAATAGGGTCTACTCTGAAGAGCCTGGGATGTTTTCTTTCCATCTATACTCACACAGGAGCACAGAGGCCAGAGCTGACTGGCCTTCTCTGACCCTGTGGATCACTTCTGTCCATCCACCTGGCCACAGAGGAGCCCTCTTCGGCCCCTCCCAAGCAGCTAGCACTGCCCTCTCCAGAGTGGTAACATGGGAAGTCACGTGGAGCCCTGTTCAAAAAGACCGCTGAGAGAGGCTGTCCAGGCCACAGGTGCTGACCATCCAGGAGAGAAGCAAGACAGACGTACACAAGAGCAGGGTAGCACAGGGGCAGTAGGTAACACCAAATGACAGGGTGTTACACACACCAAGTGCACTCTCACTCACAATGCATACACACTCTCACACGTGTGCGCACACACCTGTACTCACACAAATGCAACCTCACACACGTGCACATGTGCGCGCACACGCAGTCAGCAAGTTACAGGAGGGAGAGAAAGGAGCAGAACCAGCTGAGACACTCCCAGAGCAGCATGGAGCAGGAGGCACAGCTGCCAGTCACTCATCAGGTTCCCAGACAACCTCCGAAACATTTCAAAATCTGAATAGTGTCTACTGTACCCCCATGCCTGCCAAGAAGTGCCCAAAAGTTTTCTACATAGATCCCTTCCAAGAAGCCACCTGCCTTTCGCTGAGAGCACAGCCACCCTCCTAACTACTCTGCATTTGCTGGGCGTCAAGGAGAACTCTCCAGGTTGAAATTCCCCAGGGAAGCCAACTGTAAAATCATAAAACTGGAAGTTACAAACCCTGTTTGTTATGCTATCTTTGAGAGCTTACTATTTAAAAAAATATATTTTTTAAATTTCTAATGCTTGCCCACCTTGAAATCCAGCATCCCAACTTATTGACCTTCTCTGTTTCTCTCAGCTTACCTAGCACAAGTGGGTAAAGCTCACATCAACCTCTTAGAAATTAGCAAAGAAAGAAAGAGAGAAGAGACTTACTAAATTTCACCAAAAAAAGGGAGAGGGTGTGCTTTCCCCAGCTGTTTCTGAACAGCTATCCTGACTGGGAAATAAAGGCAAAATGCTGGTGTCGCTCACCTGGGGCAGATAGCCACAGCATGTCACCACGTCAAACCCAAACTGCTCTATGAAGGGCCGTTCCGCCTGCCCACCTCCTCTCCCTTGAAAACAGAAGAAAAACAAGACAGACGACTAGTTGCCTGGCTCCCTCGGCCCTGCTCTTGGAGCTCAGAGGAGCTTAGACCTGATGTCAGTGAGCCTCCTCCTCAGGTCCCTGTCCAGAGACAAATGAGGGCCCTGGTCTCCACTGACCCTCAGACCCAGGACTAGAGCCTGTTCTGTAACACTTATCAAAGCCACCCACTGCTTTCCAGGAGAGACACCAGGGGACACCCAGAGAATGCTCAGAACAGGATGGCTCAGCATTTGCCGTCTGTGACAGACAAACTGCTATGCTTCTAAATGGTCACCTCCTTTGCAGTTCCCCAAACTCAAAGCAAATCCTAACCAGTACCTGTGGTTTAGAAGGGATAGAATAGGATGACTAATAGGATCCGTCTGTCTCCCACATAGATTCTCACAGGACTGGGAGCTGTCTGTCCAGAGCAGATTCTCACAGGTGACAAGTCTGCCTCCCACAGTGTATTGTCACAGGACATAAGTCTGACGGGATCTGTCTGTCTGTCTAGAGCACTAAGTTTCCACAGTACTGCTGTCTGACTGGATCTGTTTAGCACAGTAGATTCTCGGCATCTGTTTCTGGTGTCAACTACTCTGCTTAGCAGAGTTGCTACACGGGTTACACATGGATTATCAAACGTCCGAGGATAAAAATACTGGAAGGTACTCTCAATGCTAACAGCACACTCAGCCCTACAAAGGTCAGGTGTGAGGGCTGTCACTGTGAGCCTCGTGTACAATTTGTCTTGGGAGAAAAGGCACTGCATGGAAAGCCAGAGAAACTTTGATAGACTTTCTTCTGGGGGGTGAGAGGTAAAAGGAACCATAATGGGACAGGGTTTTGAGTCCAGGAACTATTCCGTCATCCATGCATTTGTGGTACAGTACACTCACTACACTCGCTGTGTTCACTGCACCCCGAACATGCATCCTGGGGTTGACATTCCTTCCTTTGGCATCAACACAGGTCTGACCCTCACTCACATGGCTGTGGCATAACCCCACCCAGACACCCACAAGATCCGAATGTCCTCCTCCAGGCCCACAAAATGTCATACCCACTGTGCTGGCCTCCTTCTGTAGCGTCTCTCCAAGCTTCCTGTTCTCTAGGTGCAGATCTGCTAGCTGGGCTCCAAGCTTTGCAGCATGACTGTGAAACCAACAGGCAGCAACTAAACGCATGACACAAATGCGGATAATACATCCACCTGACAGGTCTCAGGCCACATAAAGTAGGGCAAACATTTTGAGGACGTAAAGTCTGTTTTGGTGGAGCAAGAGGGAGATGATGGGCCCTCATTATCTGATGGTCTTTCCCAGCCTCATCTGAGCTTGCAGCCAAGTCCTCTGTGAGCATCTCACCTTGAGAGGTTTCTTTCCTGTTTGCCTTTGTCTTGCAGAGTGCGTGCTACTCATCCTGCAGGACCCATGCTGTGGGGGGGGTGATTCCTTACATCACATCCCTCAAAATTATACCCCAAATACAAGCTTCAGGTATGAAGGAACACTGAAAAGAAAACCAAAGCCAACCAGAGGGGGAGGTGCCAAGATGTACCTGCTCAGATATCTCATGTCCAGATGCTCCATCACCAGCATGCTACCACCTCCTGGGGCATCGAGAACCTTGATGGGTTTGGGCACTTTCACGGTGCCTGTTTTCAGGATGGCAGTCAAACTCGCCATCTCACCTTCGAACATTCTTTTAGCCTGTCAGAAAAAATAATGGCGAAGGGGAAAGAGGAGAGAGCAAGATCACTTCCAGAAAGGTTCCATGTAGACACATTTCCTCAGCCATTACAACTTTAACCAAGGCTACCCTGACTGCAGTCAACAGACAGCTTTTTCCACTTTTCAGTAGATTACACGTTCTGAAGCTGCACAGAAGTGAGGCTTGTACTTTCTAGCACTGGACTGTATTTTTATGCTACCAAACTTTCTGCAGAGGGAAGAGTGGGCAGCTGCTAACATCCCACTAAATGCCTGGTGCTGAGCCAGACTGTATACATGGGGCATCCTCAGGCAGCACCTCAACCACAATCCTGCCCCATGGTAACCACTGAAACAGCTCAAGCTGGCCTTACCTTGCTTCTAACAAGGTACTGAGTTGGTTTTCAGGGACAACACAACAAAACTGTGCATCATGCTAAAGTATGCTCAGAGGAGAGAACCAAAGTTTCGCAGCTCCTCGCTCTCCCAAACCCACTTCGTGGACTTGACTAGAACTCAGTTGCTGGTCCACTGACCAGGAGGATCCCATGCTGATGCCTCTAATTGAAACCTGTCCCCCCTCAGCCCTCCACATACCAGACCAACATCCCAAACCCCTTAAATCTCGCCCAAACCCACAATCGAGGAGACAGATTTGAGCCTTGTCTCCTGTTTCCTTGCCGGTCAACTTTGCAATGAAGCCTTTTCTTTTCTCAAAAGCCAGTGTCATAACTTTGGCTTCTGTGCACACTGCGCAGCGAGTCCTTGCTTGGTAACAGCACCTAGCCCTTCAGGTGTAGGTGGCCCTCTGTATGCACATACCAGGAATCTGTGGTCACTTTTCACCTAAACGGACCACCAAGTTCCGTATCTCCTACATAGCACTGGAAACTGTATCATCTTGAACACCATTTCCATCCTAGTCCAAAAGTCTTTGTTCCCCCTGGACTGCAGTGACCACCCTCCACACACCGTGTCCCCTCTACTTGGAACACTATCCTCCAGCTCCTTTCTCATCATGCTTCAAGTTTCAACTTCATGATCAGTCTGGTTTCTCAGAAACCTTCCCTAACTCCCCAGACTAAATAATTCCTCCCCTTTAAAGTATTTTGTAAGTAAAATGCTACAGAAGTATATGCAATAAAGTGTACAACTCAGGAGCATCCGACTCTAATTCTCACAAAGTCAGCACATCTGTGATCAAGAGACCAGGCATCACCGTCCAGAGGCTCCTCTTCTCCCCAGTCATTGCTGTTCTCAGCCGACTTGTTTTGTCAGACACACAGAGGCAGATGTCTGGCTTCTCTGCTCCATACTGCGTTTGCTACTTTGGTGCGTCAACAGTCAGAGTTTATTCTCACTGCTGTACAGAGCTCAGGTGTGGGAGTGTTCCACTATGTGTTCATCCAGTCTCCTCTTGGTGGACAGACAGCTGGGCTTCCAGTGTGGGGCTACTACGAACAGTGCTGCCATGGACATTCTTCTACTTGTTCTCATAGTTACTAATTCGGTGACCTTGGGCAAGTTACTTACACTCTCTGTGCCTCAGTTTCCTCATCTGTAAAAAGGGATCAATAATAGTACCAATGTCGTGGGCTTGCTGCCATGATTAACTAAGTTAGTAGCTAACAAGAGCTAGTCACTGAGGAGAAAGATAAGGACTGGGTGCTGCCCTGGCTTGGTGTTCAGTTGGTTAGAGTCACCCCGATACGCAAGGTTGCGGGTTTGATCCCCGGTCAGGACATATACAAGAATCACTCAATGATGCACAAGTAAGTGGAGCAACAAATCAACATTTCTCTCTCCCTTCTAAATTGTTTTTTGCTAAAGAAGAATTTTTAGAGCATTCTCTTTAGATGATAAAGAGAAAACGACTGGACCCTGGCTGTATTTTGTACTAGAGCACTGGTTTTAAAGAGTAAAATAAGGGATAGAACTTTTTTTAAAATGCAGGGAGAGGTAAAGGAGGATCTGAGAGCCCAAAGCTCCCTCACAGAAATATCGACTGTGACATGGTCCTAAGTGTCTAACTAAACCTAGGAACACTACCACTCTAGACCTGAACCAGGGTAAAAACAAGCATCAGTCAGGGCTAGTGCTACAAAAAAAATCTAGAGAAAACCAATTACACAAGTATGTGAAGGCCAGATAAGAATAATCAAGAGGTACAACAGCCTGGCTGGGCATGGCTCAGCGGTTGAGTTAGGCCTAGGATCCAGGAGATTATGGTTCCATTCCCAGTCAGGGCACATGCTCGGGTTGCAGGCTTGATCCCCAGTCGGGGGCCTATAGGAGGCAGCCAGTCAATGATTCATCACTGATGTTTCTATCTCTCTCTCCCTCTTCCTTCCTCTCTCTGAAATCAATAAAGATATAAAATTTTAAAAAATAATAAAATAAAAAAGAGGTACAAGTCGGACAGGTCAATTTAAGCAGGGGTGAGAGGGCAACAGAAGAGCATGTTCGGAACTATCTACCAAATGACTGGAAAGAATTTATCAGCAAAGGAAGAATTAGCAAAGCACCAAGAAAATGGACTTTGATGACAAAACAGAAAGTGAGGAAGAACCTGAAGCAGCAGCAGCAGAGCTGTGTTTTAAAAGCATCACTAAGTGGTTTCATCTTAACAGAAAATATTTGCTTCCCCTGTGCTCAATACCATGGTTTGAAGCACTACAAATGCCAGTGAAGGTGGAAATAAGGGCACGAGAAGGATGGATTCCACACAGGAGGAAAGGATGCCTGGAGAAGCCCTGCAGAAGAGAAGTGCCACTATGTGAAAGGGTAACCTCAAGGACGAACAGCTGACAAGCACCCACAGATGGATATGCACAGGATGACACCCGGGGGAGCTGAGAACAAAGGGCGGGAAGCTGGTCTTGAGCGAACAATAGCATTTCAGAGGCCATCTCACATGGCTGTGGGAGATGGGATTCACTTCTGGGAAGAAAATGAAAATGCCGGCGAGAACGATTTCTAAGGGAGGGGTAAAGCACCGCCACGGCTGACCCATAGGACTTGGTACTGGGGTAAGTACCTCAGCCTCATTTTTTTAAATTTACCTTCTTTTTATTTTTTAATCCTCACTCAAGGATATTTTTTCCACTGCTTTTCAGAGAGTGGGAGGGAGAGAGAGAGAAACATAGATGTGAAAGAGACCCGTTGATTGGTTGCCTCCCCGGCATGCCCTGACCAGGGCTGGGGATTGAGCCTACAACTGCGGAATGTGCCCTTGGCTGGAATCGAACCTGGGACCCTTCAGTCCGCAGGCCGAGGCTCTAACCACTGAACCAAACCAGCCAGGGCTCTTTTTTTTTTTTTAATGTTTTTATTGATTTTTATAGAGAGGGGAAGGGAGAAAGAGAGAAACGTCCATGGAAGAGAGCACCATCCATTGGCTGCCTCCTGCACATCCCCTACTGGGGATGAGCCCCACAACCCTGGCATGTGCCCTGACCATGAACCTGCAACTTTCAGGTGCTCAACCGACTGAGCCACACCGGCCAGGGCCTGGCAGCCTCACTTGAAGCAGGGCAATGCCCAACCCTGCTCATTCCCCACGGGTGCCAGGCTGGGCCTTCCAACTGAGGGCAAATGCAGCGACCCACCCAAACCGGGTAAAGGGACACCAACTAGCGCAAGTAACAACTTCAGCCCTGAGGCTCACCTGTCTTCTACAGGGCCCCACAGAACCGAGAGGGTGGCTGCAAGGAACCAACAACTGTCCCACCAAAGTTCCTGTGTGGAAGCCTAACCCCCAAGCGACGGTGTCAGGAGGTGGGGCCCAGGGAGGTGGGCAGGTCACAGGGCGGCCCTCCTGGGGGGATGTGCCCGTGGGAGGCCCACAGAGCCGCCTCGCTCCGCAGCCGGCTCTCACCGGGCCCCGAATCCGGCGGCGCCCGGAGCCTGGGCTTCCAGGCGCCCCACGTGTGCAAAGTGAGCGTCGGGTGTGCGGGCGCCCGGCCTGCGTGCTCACCGCAGCCCGGCTGCCTAAGGCGGCGGCTAAATCCCTTTCAACTGCTCCCGTCTTTGTTCACAAGTCGCCAAACACGCCCTCTCGCGAGGCAGCGGCCAC